GAAAAATTACCAAATTATCATCGTATCATTTTTTAAAGAACCAAGAATTAGAACTCTGCCAAGGTTCATCTAACTAATTCCCGAAGAAAATTGTGCATATTTGATTTTTATTGTCTAGAGAAGGTGACCCAGAAATAAAACTACGAGAAAAACCCTATGCATTGTTCGCAATACGTGTATTGCAAAATATTTTACACGAATAAATAAATTCTGGGAAAAAATGAGTACAACTTCATTTTAAGGTCAAAAGAAAACTTTTAAATTATATCAGGAGTAAATGAAAATAAAATACTTTAGACGACTAGATTGATCAAAATTTCAGTGATAATAATAATTATAATAATGTAGATAATATCCTGTGGGAGGTTTATCAGTTCTTCTATCAGGCGCAGCCTCATGGGAATGCTTTCTGGGTATTCTTAGCACCGATACCCATAGGGTAGCGGGGATACACATGAAAATGGTGAATAATGATTTATGTTTAGGGTCGCTGAATGGGGATCGCCCAAATCGCCCGACGTAACAGTTCATAAGCCTTCTCTACGTAAGTCAGACGTAGAGAAGGGGTGAAGGAAAAACCTGGGGGTCAGATAGGTACCGTTCCAGAATGACTAGTTCTTCTGGAGCGAGACTGGTTTGATTTTCGGACATGTGGATCCCACTGACTAGCAGTGGTATACACATGTCCCTAGGGGTCGGGTTGAATTCGTGTGCTTGTGTGTGTAATTTTTTTTGTAATATGGCTTTGGCAGAGCCAATTAGCCAGACTTGTTTGTGTTTATTGTTAAAATCGACTGAATTTTAATTATTAGTGATTGCAGATTCATAGTCCAAATTTTCTTGTTATAAGTTATCAAGTTAGTACTACATATACCTAATATTTTTATGGATACATAAATAATATTTTGATATATATTTTGTTTTGTTTCTTTTTTTATTCTTTTATTATCTTTTTTTTGTTTTGTTTTCTTTTTTTGTTTTGTTGTTTTTTTTTTTGTTTTTTTATGTTTTTTGCTTTTTTTTTGTTTTTTGTTCCATAACTATTTTCTTAATTCTTTTGATTTTTTTATTAATTTGTGGTATAATTTTTTTTGTTTTTTTTTTCAAATCATATTAACAGAATATGCCTATATATTGTTTACAATTTATATTTACACATTTTAACATGTTTGTAAATGCAATAAAGAATTTCCATATTATGTGAAAATATCAAAAGATTAAGGTTTATTGGAAAACAACACTTAAAATTAGTTCTAAGATATTCTCTGAAAAAAAAAAAAAAAATAATATGAACTACATTAATATCATCGACAATTTCCTTAAATCCAATTTTCACGGAATGGCGCAGTCACTCGGTAATAAAAATATCTAAATAGTATGTCTCTAAAATAATTTTCTCCATTCACGATCCTCTTTACGAAAAGATCGCTATTGGCGTTGTCACTGCATAATTTCACAGTTTCACGCGGTGTAGATAGAGCAGAGATAGAACAGGGCTACGACGCCGTTTCTGCCGTTGGCACAAAACGATGCGGACTTTAGTTCAGCCATAAACTAAAAGTTGGAATAAATTGTCACTCAGTGTGTAGTGCAACGACTAAAGAAAACTTCATGAAGTAAGTTGTAAGTTACTCTTTGCATGCCAAGAAGTTGCTTAAATATTCAGACATTCACGTGTTTTTGCTTTTGTTTGCCTGTCGACAGACGTTTGTTTGCTTCGGTTTGGTAACTGGCAGGCTTCCCTTTCACTAATGCATTTCTCTGTTTCTCTCTCTCTCTCTGTCTTTCGTCTTAGCTCCGTTTCTTTCTCTTTCACCAGAAATATGAATGGATGGATGGATGCAAGTTTGATAAAGTTTGTACATCTCAGTTTAGATGAGAATTTCCAATAGTACGGACGCTTGTTTCATTAAATATCATATTAATCACAATAAGGGATTCGTTATACAGATAACGACATTGTTTTTTTGACCATAGGAATTAAGATTTATTGCAATCTCATATCGTGATCTGTATATACCATTCTTGGATTTAACAATAGTAAGTTAACTTAAGTAAGTTTACAATATAGACAAGAAGAATAAAGACAATAAATAATTTTGGAAAAACAATAAGAAAAAGAGAAAAAAATGCACATTTGTATGGAATAACCATGTTCTATGCGGTTATAGATTTTAGATTATATTATCACTAACTTATACAACAGAACCACACATTTTAAACAAATATTAGATGTGATGAACTTAGTAAATCTGATAAGTGATCATTACTTAGTACTGGGCAATTTTTGTCTAGGTAATGCAATAATATTACAGAAATATATAGGTTACTTATGTCAGATACTTAACTAAAAAGCGAGAATTTGTAAGAAAAATCAATAAGGCTAGAAGATAAAATCATATTGAATCTCATCCAAGATGAAAACCGTATGGAATCAAGCTGAATGACGTCTAGCCCTTTAACTGCCAGGCTAAATTACAGGTTACGTTAGGGCCTCGTTAATGTTAACGTTAATGCCAACACTTTTTTCAGTTAATGATTATGGGTCTATTCTTTGTTATGTTATATGAATTTGTTGAATTTGTTTGATGAATCTGTTAAATATAACGAAAAATTCGCCAAGTATAGAGATCTAGAAATATAAATCAGGAGATAATAAAAAATGAAAAGTACCCAGAGAGTACCTATTCTTTTATCTACTACTAATGTTACTCCAAAAAACCTCTTAGGGAACATAAAACACCTAGGTGTTAATGAACACACACCTGTATAAGATCATACAGAAAGCTGTACTTCAGAAAATTTTTGGAAGATACTCCAACATACCAGGTCACCTAGTTCGATAACACGGATAGAGTCCCACCAGTGCTTAATCCTTTTGATACCGTAGGTGTCTGGGATGAGTAAATTTTCCCCTTCGAGGGAATGTGAGCCATACGGCTAAATCTAGGTTAGATTTTATTATAAATATTTTGTCTTAGGAAACCAAATTGACCAATTAAGTTTGACGAAAATTCGTAAGAAGGATACAGTGTTCTTGAGTCTGAAGTTGAAAAACTGAGCGAAAACACAATAATCATGACAAGCGTTGTCATAATTAAATACAAAGTTAATTTGATTGTCAAAACCGTTACCTTGCTACCCAAAATCGTCCCGAAAGTGAAAAAATTAGTCCCAAAAGTAGCGACTTTCGGTACGAGTTCTGTAAACTGGTACTTTCGATTTAATAAACCGTACCGAAAGTTTTATTTTCGGAACTACTGCAGAAAAAGCATATTTTTATTCTATTTTATCCTTTTCTGTTAGGCAGTTCCCTATGAATGACTGGAAAGATAAATAAGTCATTTCAATACTTCTTCTAAATCCTTCCTGTATAAATTAGTTTAATACAGCTGCATTAAGAGTTTAACCTCCGCATTACTGACAAAGGTATAATTAATATGATTTGTTTGCCATGGATTTAATGATAGTTATCATAGTAAAAGATTTTTTTTGGACCTATTCTCTATCCATCCATTGTTGGATATAGGTCTCCCCCAGTTCTCTTCATCTTTCCCTATCTTAAGCTGTTCTCTGCCATGTGGAACCTCCTTGTTTCCTGATGTCATCTTTCCACCTCATCTGTGGTCTACCTCTTGATCTCTTTGCATTGTATGGACGCCACTTTCCGATAGCATTGTTCCATCGTCCGTCTTGGAGACGTTCATTGTGTCCAGCCCATTTCCATTTCAATTTTGCTGCTTGTTCTATCGCGTCTACTATCTTTGTTCTGGTTCTGATCTACTGCTTACGTTCTCCATCGCTCTTTGTGCCTTCCTTATCCTATCCAAATTGGCATGTGTAAATGTCCATGTCTGTGCTCCGTAGGTGAGCACCGGTATTATACAGGAGTTATATACCTTGCTTCGTAAGTATAGAGGGATTTTTTGATTTTTTATAACGTAAGAAAGTTTGCCGAACGCTGCCCATCCCATTCTTACTCGTCTCGATATTTTGGCTGTTTGATTTTCTCTGTTAGCTCTGATTGCTTGTCCTAGATATATATACTCATTTACCTGTTCTATTTTTTCTGTTGTTATTTTTATTGCCTCTTGGTCTTCCGTGTTTGTCATTACTTTTGTTTTGTTGAATTTAATTTTTAGGCCTTTTGCAGTGATTTTTCATGAAGTTCATACGTTTTCAAATCTTGATTCAAATAACCAACAAGCTCTTTCACTATACCCGTTATCTAAATTTAGCACAAGTTGTCAAAGATATGATTCGGTGATTTTCAAACTCAGCCGGTTTTCTATAGAACTAAGAAACTATTCTGAATACACAATTCCAATATGCTTCAGACGTCACGATAAGATTTAAATCAAACAAGGTAATATATTATACTACTGGAGCATATAATTCTTTTACCTCTTTATTTATTATTACTATTACACTTTATTATATTATATACAACCCATAAACTGACAATTATAAAGACAAAAACAGTAAATAAAGAAACAAATTACATTTATTACAAAAATTACGTTTTTTAGTTGCAAATTCAAATTAAATTTTAGCTGCGTGCCAGTAAAACATATTTATACGTTAATTGTTGATATTTCTGCTGAACTCTTCAATTCAATCCATAAATTTTCCAACAGTAAAGAGTTTGAGTACCCCACGAAGTATAGAAAAGTGGCGTTAAGTTCTATTCCTCTTGCAGGTCTAATATCTATTAAATTCATTGGTGAAAATATATTGTCAAGACATGATTATCCTGATTGAAATCCACTAATCTCTGTGATTTTTCCGTCAGAAGTGTCTACTCAGATATTTAGGACGCTGCCGTAGAGTTTTCCAATCGACGATGTAATTTGGAAGCCTGTATAGTAATAACAATGGTTACTAAATAACATACGAAAAAGGGGTTAAAGCACTTAAAGCGTTAAGTTAAACCGCTTTTCGTTGACAGGAAGAAGGAAAGATTTGATCTGCAATAACAAAAGCCGAAAAAGTTATAAAGAATGCCAGAAATGACTGAAGTAGACAAAACTGTGGTTTCAGAGGTAAAACCTGAACAAAGTGAATCCTCAACAGACAGTGACTCAGATGAAGACATCCCTGAATTGGAAGATGCTGGAACTACAAGCTCAGCTTCAGCAACATTCCCTGGAGCTGCCGCTGCTGGTTTGCCCATGGATATGGTTTCCAAGGTCAAACGGTCTAGAGGAGAGAAAAAATCAAGAAAAATTATGTCCAAATTGGGTCTTAAACCTGTACAAGGAGTCAACAGGGTAACAATTAGGAAGTCAAAAAATATTATTTTTCTCATAAATAAACCTTCTTCTTCTTAGAGTGCCGTCTCCCTACGGAGGTTGGCAATTATAACGGCTATTTTTATTTAAGAACTTGCTGCTCTAAACAAATCAATCGATCTGCATTGGTACCAATCACGTAGATTCTTTAACCATGAGTTCTGCCTTCGGCCAACAGATCTTCTTCCTTGAATCTTTCCCTGTATTATCAGTCTCAAAATTTCATATTTTGGTCCCCTCATCACGTGGCCTAGGTATTCCAGTTTTCTGGTTTGTATAGTGGTGATTAGTTCTGTTTCTTTACCAACCCTCTCCAGTACTTCTTTATTTGTAATTCTATCAGTCCATATATTTTCAATCCTCTGCGGTATAACCAGAGTTCGAAGGCCTCGATTCTTTTTAAATTACATTTTTTTAATGTCCAAGTCTCAGCTCCATATAATAATAAATAAACCAGATGTATACTAAAACCCTGTAAGTGGTACATTGTATTTGGTGAAGCAAAAATTGAAGACCTTTCACAACAAGCTCAGGCGACTGCAGCTGAGAAATTCAAAGAAGTCAGTCCTGCTGGAGATAATGCGGCTGGTACAACAACCACATCTGTGGCACCAATATCTAAAGAATCAGAAGATGAAAAAGTTGATGAATCTGGACTAGAGGAAAAAGATGTAGAGTTGGTCATGTCTCAGGCAAATGTTAGTCGATCTAAAGCAGTAAAGGCGATGAAGAATAACCAAAATGACATAGTGAATGCTATAATGGAGCTTACGATGTAACAAATAAGACTCCAAACAGTGCGGATAAAAACATAAATAACGATTTTTGGAGCGACTTTTACAATTTGACTGTATTTGTTTAGGAGGCGAAGTTGCAAGTTGTGGCTAATCAAAACGCGTGTTGTAGTGTATGCATCTTACCTTTATTATTTACTGTTTACTCATATTACAATTGATTTAATTTAATATACGTCAACGTCTATATTAATATTATTCATTCAAAACTACAAAATTCTGGTTGACTTTATTCTACACAAACATGTTTTGCCTTCAACCTGCTATTAAATTAAACCCCTTTTGCAAAATATATTCCCAATGCCACATATATTGTTAAATAGAAAAAAAGAACCAAAAGCTCCCTATCTCGTTTCCGGTTTATCATCCCATCTAGTTGCAAATCCAAAATCCCTTGCAAGCTAAGAGCTTATTGCACAATAAAGTCGCAGGTAAAACGTCTGGAGTGGTGGCGCGGCGTCGGGGAAAGATACCGGAAACTAAATTAAAATTTAACAATGCTCGCGCGACTACTATGCTCGTCAAAAGACGCTTTTCATTCAATAGAAAAATATTTGCTTTGAGAATCAACACAAAAGTTGAAAAATATTGAAAGAGATATTTGTTTGCAACGGTATCATAGCTTCAAAGTATGCAACATGAGCGTTAAGGTCACGAAAGACGATTTTAATAAAATATTTTATGAAGTAGCGATCTGATATTTATTATTAACTTGTTTTCATCGTGTCTGATCATTGTTTTTATTTCTCTAAGGAGCTAACTTTCATATGTTTTTTCCAGAGTCATACCAATAATAATTTTTTTTTAATATTGGTCAAATAAGACTATACTACTATAAATACTAATTAAGTATGTCTTATTTAACCGCCAATCACATATTTTTCAGTTTTCCTTTTATACTCCTTCCTAAAAATTCCAGAAACTCAGTATTTATTTGTATTACAATTTTGACGTTAGTCTAACTATATAATTCTAGGTGTGGTAGCATGATATAGTACCATACTATCATCATAGTTGGTGCTAGAGTCGTATAAACCTAAGAGCTTTGACCTTCCTTAAGTCCCGAAGTCTATTACGCTAGTCAGTTCTATACATTTGATCGTTTGTCAGTTTGTAACGATAAGACTACCAAAGAGACTTGAAGTACTATTGTAAAAATAATACCTCAATCAACCATGAGAGCTTATCGTCCAAACCAAACATATTTATTTAAAAGAATAAAAAAACACAATTAACCCTGCCAATTCTTAACAATTGATGTAATACGTATGGTTTCGTTCGATGGGCTACTTGTGTGCTCAAGCTGCTAGGTCCTCCAATGGAATGTTGTAGCAAAGAATATAGACGCTTGTAGATTGTACTATTGTTGTTTGTATGCTGTTTGTTTTTTTTTTGAAAGCTCAATAAAAGTCCAATAAAATTGTTAATATTTCCAATGAATCCAATAAATAAATGCCCAATACAATGGTTATTGAATTATTATTCCCAATGAACTAAAATTTAAAAGGAATAGGAACATTAGAGACACATCAAGAGGAGTTTAACTTCCTTGCCATCTTACAAAGTTACAGGAATTAAACAAATAGCGTATGGCAAGGAAATATGATTGTTACTATGATTGTTAGTTAAATTCTGTTAAAGAGTCCTAATGCATATATAAAAAAAAACAATGTGCTTTCGAAAGAAAGTAAGGTTACAAATATCGGAAATGCGGTCAGAATTATTAGAATAAATATTAAAATTAAAGCACTTACCCCAAGAAAACTTGTAGACCATAAAATAAGTCTAATTTATGGTCTAATAATTTTTGCCTTCTTTTATAATGTTTAAAAGCAGGCAAAAAATTATATTCCCACTACGTTAGAAAAGTTGTTTTAACAGAAAGTGGGAGACTTAAATGAAATTAGCACAGATATCATAGGATGTTGCTATTTTATAAAACTAGCTTGTCTGTCAACACAAAACAGAAATAGAGAGGGCGAATATTTATTCTACGTGAGAGAAAGAGAGAGTAATTAAAGACAGAGGAAGAAATGAAACACAGAGGAAAAAATAGAGGAACAGAGAGGTCGCCAACTACTTTTTAAATAAAAAAAATAGTAAAAATTAAACTGAAGATAAACAAATTAACAAATTACTAAAGAAATTAAAATGAAATAATTATTTAAATATAAATTAATAGAGATGTGACGTTTATAATGTTACAAGTTGTGGTTGAGCTTGTCTTACCGCACGTTCCAAAATTAAATAGCAGGGGGGGGGGATTTCCTTGTCTAAGCCCGGTATCAATGAGGAATTAGTCTGACGTGATGCTGCTAATTCTGATCCGTGCGGAAGCGTTCTCTATGCTCACCTGTGCTAATTTTACCAGCTTCCAGGTACTTTCACTTCTACTTTGGTCTCCCACAATGCTTCTCTGATAACAGAATAGTAAGCTTGTTTAAAGTCCACGAAGATTTGGTGTACATCGCTGTTGGATTCCCAGTTTTTTTCCATCACCTAGCGTTGGACGAATATCTGGTCTTCTAGACAGTATTATGGATATATCTTTGTAAGTTGTATTGATTAACGATATTCTTCTGCAGTTTCGACATATTTGTTTGCCTCCCTTCTTGTGGATAGGTGTCTATATGGTTTCATGCCAGTGTTTCGGTATTTCTCCTGTTTCCCAGGCTTCTCTTATAAGATGATATATCTCAAGGTGGTGCTTTTTTCTGCCTTCTTTTTAGCAGTTCCGCCTATATGCCGTCTGTACCTAGGGCTTTATTGTTTTTTAAGGACGAAATTGCGGATTTTACTTCAGCCAGTGTGGGTCCTGGTGTTTCAGGTTCGGCTAACTGTCACTGTCTTTATTGGCCTATCGTTGTGGGTTTTTCTGTATTTAAGAGTTGCTCAAAATACTTTCTTTATTGGCGGCTTATCTCCTCGTCGTCTGTGAGCAATTGTCCTGCATTATCTTTTATAAATCTTGGGCTGTTGGTCCGGTTGACCTTTATTGTTTTTAGGTTCTTATAAAACTGTCTAGACTGACTGGTTCTATGTTTTGCCTCCAGTTGCTGTATTCGCGCTTCCCTGTACTGTTTCTTTTTTCTTCTCAAAAGTCTTCTCGTTTGAGTCCTCACTCTGTTGTAGTCTTCCCTATTCCCATCTGTAGGACGTGTTAGTAACTCTAGCCTCTTGATTGCTTTTTGATTTGCCACTGATTTGTCTTCTTGTTATTTCTTTCTTTTACTTTCCGTTGCGACACTTTCTATGGCTTTTGTTATATTTTGTTATTTTTGGTTTATGGTCAATTCTAATGTTGATATTTCTTTGTCTATTCTAATGTCTGATATTGGCGTTCCTTATCAGGTAAATCAAGCCTTGAAATGTCCTATCTTGAAATAAAGACGTTCATTAAGAGCATTTTGAACATCTCCTATATTGACATTATTGTTTAGATTTGTATTATTTAGAAGTTTTTGAATATGTTGTAGTCACTTTCGACAAATAGATAATTTTCTTTTCTAAATATGAATTTTTGCATTTCACTAAATATTTCCCACACAGTCAAAGATAGATATAGGAGATTGTATTCAAAAAATATCTAAAATGATTTAAGGAATCTAAAAATTAATTAATATACAGGGTGTTCTATTTAAAATAAGAAAGTTGGTATTGGCCACCGTTGTCTGATACACCCTGTATAAAAAGTTTTTATGGAAAAAATGCGCAACTATAAATACTTGTCGACGTGTTTAACCGTTTGTTTGAATACTTCTTCATTTATTTATTGGAGAATTTACTCCATTTGGCTGACACACAAACCCACAATTTGGATCTAACAGTGTATGTGGAAGCTACATATTAACTTCTTTAATTTCAAGACCGGGCGTTTTATCATGAAACAGTTCCTTAATATACTCTTTCCAACAGTTTATTACCTGATAGTGATTGCATTTTAGATTTTAGACAATATTTCATAAGAATATCTTTCTAAAAATGTTAAGAATATATTTTCCATACGGTTTAACTTACGAAGATATACAGTATATAAGCGTTTTGATACATAAAGTAGATAAGCCATAAAAGTATTTCAAAGAACATCCACATATTATACATTTCATCCAAGTCTGAAAGCGTGGAGAATGTTCTCAGACAATTTATTTAACAATAAAAAAACGAACCATTTTTCGAACGCTTTACACGAAGCGGTAGCGAATTTCACTCCGGCAACCGAAATCGAATTCTAGAAGAAAGTTTAAGCGCTGCCTTTGATGTAAACGTATCTTAAACGAGAAGTTGAAGAAGTGAGTCCGAGAGATCTCCCCGAAGGGGTCAAAATTCAGTCTCGGGGCCGCTCCATTCATTTAACTGGCGAGCTGCTGCATCGGGACCTTTGAATTTTGATAAATTAGTTCGAAATGAAATGCCTGTTTGCCATTTCAAGTGGATCGAATAGAAAAGAAGTTTATATTCCGGTTGGGAGAGATGCTTCTCCGCGAAACTGATTTTGAAGCGAACGGAAGTGACTGTTACACCGACGAGACATTTAAAAGAAGGATTAAATCTAAACTAGAAATAAGATCATTAATATTTTCATTTTTGTAAATAATATGATAAATCGACAATATTAGGCAGAACTTAAGAATCTACATTTTATAGGGACTATCTCACTAGATTATTTTTAAATGATCACATATTAATATCTAAGTGGTAAGCAACCTCCGTAACGGATGTTAGAACTTATAGAGACGCAAATTGCAATTCGGACCATTTCTTGGTTATTATATAGAAGATAAAACAAACAATATCAATGGTAAGAAAAGAGAGAGGCGCCAAACAAACAAAATAAAACACATAATGTTTAAAAATTCTAAAAAGAAGAATAAATACCAGCATAAAATAAAAGAAATATTAAATGAAAGAGGAGAACAAAACAACATTGAAAAAGAATGAAATGTCATCCAAATAACAATTACAAATATGGCAAAGAAAACATTAGG